TGGAGGAGGGTCCCATATTTGTGATGATCTGTAACAAGATCTTTTTGTGACAATTAGTGATAATAGGGGAGGAGGGAAGGTTAGACTCTGCAAAAATTTGTGTGATGTCATGGATGGCCCCTAATACCAGGGTCAGCAAACATTTTTTGAAAAGGGCCATTAAGAAAAATTGCGTCTGGCTCAAGCCATTAGGTGTCCTTTAAACAGAATATGTCACAAATAGTAGTTTGCTAACCCCTACTATAAACCAAAATAGTAATGTAATTTTAAAAACTAAAGGAAATATTTTACACCAAATAATCAAGCTAAACTTGGAATTAGGCAATTTTAAACTTTTTTATAACAATAAAATGTGATTTTTATACTGTTATACAGTAATTCAAGACAGAAAGACAAATATAAACTTACATCTTGATTTCCATTCACACGTAAATGGTGCGGAAAATGTTGAGTATGTTTTCCCAAAAGATGAGATGATTCATCCTCTGAGTAGCTATTATCATCATTCACTGATAAACTGGGTTCCTCAGTGTTCCTAGAAAGGTTACAAGGGATTCCTTAAAATATTATAACATTTTAAGTAGCGTTCAATTCATTCCTATCTTTTGCCTAACGGCAAGAGAGAGATTGTTAGTTCAAATTTGTCTGAGTGTATTCCCATTCCCAGCTATGGGTAAAATAAAAATGGGTGGAATTGACACCTTACAGTTTTACTCAAGTGTCTCAAGTAAGGCAGCTAGGCTTACTCCTGGCAGTTTTGGGGTGGAGGCAGACCCTGACTGGTTGGAGGCTGGGTAAAAAACCTCAACCACTGAAGTGTGGAGACAGCTGTCGATTTGAGGTGGGAATAATAATGAGTAATGAGCTTAGCAGTCTGCTTTATAACTTACAAATAATAAATGTAGTTTTAAACTGGTAAAATAATATTTTAGCATCCTAAATTAAACATCATTTTTTAAAATTTAGGAAATAAGTTTTGATTTTACTTTTTAAACTTATAGTCAAGAATGAAATTAGTTTAATTATATTTAATAAGATAAGAGATAAGATAAGATTCCTTTATTGATTCAAACAAATGGAACTTTTTATGATTTCATTATACATTTTCAACACATAATATATGAAACATTTTGGACACAAGACATTTGTAAGAAATTTTTTCACTAGCAGCCATTCAGTGAGTTCTCTTAGCCATATCAGGGACTTATTAGTTCTCATTAAGATTTGTGACTTTAGGGGGAGCATGCTGGTAAATTCCTACAGATTGGGAAACAAAAGAATTTTTATAGCTTTCAGTCCTTGCCCTGACGGAAAGAATTCGTCCCGAACGGGCCGATCCTAAGTATCTGTGATGAAGAGGGTAGGATGTATCATCCAAAATGTGTTTAATTTTACAGTAACATCATTCTTCAAATAGTTCTTCCAATGAAGGATATTTAGTTTCTGCTATGTTCTTAGCTTTCTGATTAGTCGGTTTATGCAGTGTTCAATATCAGACGTTGAATTCCCACACCACCAGGTAATACTTAAATTAATTAGGCTTCCAATTTTGCACTGTAGAATAAGTTAACGACTTGTTTGTTTATGCCAAATTGTACAGTTTTTTGAGGTAGAACAGTCTTTGGTAGAATTTCTTATATAGCATTTGGCCGGGGTCATGCTATGTTAGCTTATTATTAATGGTGACATCTCTACTTTCTCTACTCAACACTTTGATTTTTTATGTTGAGATCTGTAATCTGGTGTTCCCCCCTCCTGAAATCAACAACTATTTACTTTGTTTTTGAGACATTCAGCTGCAGAAAATTTTCATCGCACCAATTGATAAAGCTTGTAACTAAGTTGCTGTATAAGCCTTCTCCTTCAGATATTAAGCCAACGTTGTGGTATTATCAGCAAATTTTAAGATTGGAGCGGTGTCGCTTGAGCTTTGCATGTCATTGGTATATATTGTATACAATACAGGGAAGAGAACGCAGCCTTGTGGCGCCCCCATGCTTATTTCTCTGGTTAGAGATAATTGGTCATTTACCTTGACATATTGTGGTCGATTTGTTAAAAACTTAAGTATCCAAGCCTGAATATATAAATTTACACCTAACGAGGACAGTTTCTTTATCATAAGGTGTGGTTGGATGGTGTTAAAAGCTGATGAGAAGTCTAAGAATAGCACTCTGGCATATTCTTTTTGACTATCTAGGTCAGCGGTTCTCAACCTGTGGGTCGCGCTACCCTTTCCCAGGAGTCGCCTAAGACCATCTGAAAACACATATCCTAACAGCTATGAAGTAGCAACGAAAATAATTGTGTGGGTCAGGGTCGCCACCACACGAGAAACTGTATTAAAGGGTCGCGGCACTAGGAAGGTTGAGAACCACTGGTCTAGGTGATAATAAAGTCTCCCCAACAATAATTATTAATTATTATTATTATTAAGTTCTAGGACTATGTTAGTGTTAGGCTACACCAGGCCTGCACAACTCAAAATTTAAGGCGGGCCATAATACTTTATGAAAAATTTGTGCGGGCCGAAAGAAAATAGGATTAGAAAGCTTTTGAGAAAATAACAATAATAAAGACAAAGAATATTTCATTACTTCATGGGACGCAAAGTTGGTGCTGCAGCCCGCAGGTTGTATGTTGTGCAGGCCTGTGCTACACTAACTATTAATATTATATATATAATATTTATATTAGGAAACTGTTAATCAGTTAAAGTTAAATGATAATGTTACCATTTCTTAACTTACTTAACTTACTCAGTACTCTTAGCCTTTGTCAGTAGCCTGCCTACTACTACTAGTAGGCCTACTGCTTATTACTCTACAGTCTTCTAAGTCTCAAGACTAAGTCTAAAAGTAGACATTGACATACCTCTTTACAAAATTGTGGACACTCCGCTGGATAACACTAATAACAGTGTGATTGTTACTGTTACTGTGTGTCTCAGACAAGCTCATCGTGGTCACTGATGGACTGGTCTATTACTATTATAAACAAACATTTAATTCATTAATTACCAAATAAATAAAATCATGAAGTTATGCTAGACTCAGTCCAATAGAATAGATCTAGGTTTACAATCAGCTTATACTGTCAAATCAAGTCAAATTCCAGTAACAAGTATTATTATCGTATTCTACATATCTTTTCGCCTTTCTTCTGCATTTAGCTGGGGAACATAACTTGTCAGCTGATATTATTACGGATAAGATTAGACCAGCGTCCAATTTATTTAATTAATCCAATCCATGCTTAGACTAAGGCTTTTGGCTTAAGGCATTTGAAAGCTACTAAGTTAAGTTAGCAGAAACTCTGAAGTCTGATTCTGAGTCACCAGGATAATTGCACACCCACTTACCCTCGAAGTTACACTTACACACACGGCGAACTTTGGTTTATTTACAAAAAAAAAAAAAATTGCGTGTCGTTTGGGGGGGGGGGATGTGGTAAGAAGAACAGCTAAACATGGTCGTGATTAGTCTGGTCTATATTAATTATTATCTTAAGGCCTAGGCTTAAACTTAAGACACTTAAACACACACTAGGGTAATACTAATACACTAGAGTGATGTAGGCCTACACTGATTCAGTAATAACATTGACAGTCATTGACAAATAAACCAATCGGCTAAAGGTCAACGACAACACACTGGTAAAACCATGTTAGTAAACATTTTTTTTCCTCCCATGGAATGATCTGTCACTCCGGAGTACTCCAGTCCAATTAACTCAGGGGAAGGGGGAGAATATTAAAGGAAATAATTGATGGACTGCATTCAAGTTGTGTAAATGAAATTTAAGAACAATGTATGCTAAACTTGAATTCATAGACAAGACAAAAGATTTGCCTTCATCAGCAAACAAGACAAAAAGAAGAACAAGCCCAAGCGTTTAGGAAATATTTTTTTCAATGAAATCGAGATGAGGGTGCATGAAAAAAAAAATAAAAAAAGTTAAAGTCTTTAAATTAAGATGGGTGAGGCGCTGTTAAAAAAAAATAATTATACAAAGAAGTAAAAGCCACTGAACCAAACCACTATCTCCGAAGTGAAGTCTACCATACATTCAGCATCTCTACTTTTTAATGCATATAAAATTAAACCAGGATCCAGCCAGGGGGCAAGTCGCCTTCTCAAGAATATTAATAGTGAACTAAACGATTAAATCAGTGTAGCCTGCTTCTCAAAGACAAATACTCTATTTACTGATGCGCTCGGGGCGACATTTCGCTATTGATGCATGGGAGTAATTTTCAGGCTTCAACCTGGGCGCAACTTAACCTCGGCACGGTTAATCACTAACATCAGATCAAATCTGAGACAATTGAAGACCATATTACATGGACATAAGCCTCAGCATTTAACTGCCGGATTTCTAAATAAGTCAGCAAATCTAATCGTACAAAAAACAAGTTCCTTTGCGAAAAATATTTTTTCAAGCAGGTGTGTAAGTGAGTAGGCCTAGTGAGTTAGAATGAGTGGGGTGAAATAAAAAAAAAGAGAGAGAGAGAGAGAGAGAGAGAGAGAGAGAGAGAGAGGGGGGGGGAGAAGAGAGAGAGGGAGAGAGTGTGTGTGTGTGTGTGAGAGAGAGAGAGAGAGAGAGAGGGGGTGTGTGTGTGTGAGAGAGAGAGAGAGAGAGAGAGAGTGTGTGTGTGTGTGAGAGAGAGAGAGAGAGAGAGAGAGAGAGAGAGAGAGAGAGAGAGAGAGAGCCCGAGGGACAATGGCAAGGAGAAAACGGCGAAAGATCACTGTATGCAATACAATTTATAAATTTTATGCTGACTCTGGCTAAGCAACAAAAATTGAGCTTAATTTTCAAAGGGTGAAACATAATGTGCTGAATAAACTATTTGAATTTAGCTTAAGATTATGAGCAATGTTAAGTTATGGTTAGCCTTAATATTTTATATCAAGATCTATCCAGTCACCGCTTCTTAATATTACGGCCTACCGTCGCGCATTCTAAACGGAGCCATAACTTGTCTTTGTAAAAGGTCACGGGCGATACGAGTTCAAGGCCATTCAAACTGTAAGAGCTCAGCGAGTGTTGTTGATGTTCATTGTGTAGTTGTCTTTCTGTATAAACATAATTTTTTAAATACATCTGCGAGTATAGTGATCCCGCCTGTGTTATGAGCTGCTGTGGAAGCGGGGCCATGGCCCCTAATACCATTGAGACCATCGCGACCGCCCCCTTTGATGGCCAGAAGCCAGGAACAAGTGGTCTCAGAAAGTCTGTTGGCGTCTTCCAGCAGCCTCACTACTCGGAGAATTTCATACAATCTGGACTCACTGCTGGTCTAGGAGACAAGTTGAAAGGGGCGAGTCTGGCTGTCGGAGGAGATGGGCGATTCTTTTGCAAAGAAGCAGCCCAACTGATCATAAAGATCGCAGCAGCCAATGGGGTAATAACTAAATAAATTAACTTCTCACTCAGGACTTGGTTATAGTATAGTATAGTTATGTCTTCTGCGCCTCCAACTTAAAAATTATGAATAACATAATAATTATACTAATACACTACTGTGCTAATAAATATTTAGAGAATTGTAATAAATAATTGTACTCTAAAGAGGCTAAATAGTCCAAGGCCAGAGAAGGGTCTACAATCTATGGCATGGCATGGATTGATAATTTACATTTTTTTTGGTAATTAAACCAATACAAAGTAGGATCTAGCCTCTAGGCTAGGTAATCTACAACTTGAGGGTCAGCTAAGAAAAAATCCAGTTGTTCAGGCTTGAAGGGCTATATTTAAACTATTATTCTTTAGGGGTGTGCCGGATCCGTTTTTTCCAACCGGATCCGGATTCCGGATTTTGGTACTATTGGTAGATACTTCGGTAAGTCAAGTGGACTACTACTTTTTGTGTATGGGAATTCGCAATCGGCGCCAAAAAATCCGAGTTTTTAATTTTCCGATGTGTGTGTCTATTTATTATTAAATTAGTACTTTCGATATATATTTGAGTTCCGTTCCATTTGGATAAGTGTCTTACGAGAGACGCCATGTTTCTACGCGTTCGCAGCAGGTTATGCAGCTCGCTCAACCTAATTTCGCCATGGGGTTGGCCACGCCCCCCTTTTTAATGGCGGAAGTTGACGATACTTAGGAAATATTAATTTATTATCACTATTTACATCAAAATAATTGATAACTTGTGTTTCAGAATGCATTTAAAGACATTTAAACTGGAATGTTTTAATTTGAGCTTTAACAACCCGGTAGAATCCATATTATAAATGATCAGAATTTACCGTGTGCAACACGTTGTCATTGGCAACCATTCACAGCCACTTGCATAACTGTATCGTAGTACTACCTCAGAGTTTCATTCATAAGAGTTTGCCGTGTGCAAAAACTATTAAACCATTGGTCAGGGAAAGCTTTAATTAATTATTCATGTGCCAAAGTTGAAAGTTTAAACTAAGTCTAAACAGTATTTTAGTGATAAGGCAGGGAATGCGTTGCCTTATATAAACTATATAGTCATTGCGCATGACGGGATTGGTGGAATGAGATCACAGAATGTGGAGATGCAGTCCATGTTAAAAAATGACAAACCAAGTCGTACTTTAAAAATTCATAACTTTAAAACTACAACAGCTAAAAATATGATTTTGGTGTTATAATTCTTTAAAAAATTACATCTTTTCAACTATGCCATTGGTTTATTTTTACAAAAAGTTTAAATTTTCTTATCAAAGTCCCTACACTATTGGCCACTATTAGCGGTGCTGACTCTAGCCTCTGGTATGTACGGAATATTAAACATTAAACAAGCTCAACGCTCGAAACAATCAATTAATGTATCGTGATCGTGTGGAATTCGGGAAAGAGAATTACTTTTATTTCAGATTATGATCCGGTGAGTCACAAAATCTGGCAAATTCCGAAATCCGGTATATTCCGGAATCCGGTTGTTCCGGATACATGTAAATCCGGCGGAACCGGATTTCACCGGATAGTGCAAAATCCGGCGGAACCGGATTCCGGACCGGGGTCCGGCACACCCCTATTATTCTTATACTAATAAGATCCAAAACGATGGAAATGTTTTTTATGCCATTGTACATATTCTTTCCAGCATATATAATATATTATATTTAATACAAATAACACAAGACAGACAATTTTTTGAAATAGAAAAACTAAAACAATTTTGTTAACCATAGAAGAATTTAAACAATTTAATGTGTGAAAATGAAATTATGCATAGTCGTCCCCCAAGGTGACAATAAAGTTAAAAAAAATATAATTTCCACAAATATGGTTGCGGAATATGAACTCAAGTAAATATGAAGGGAAAAGATAACAGCTTGTGCCAAACTGTCTTTTCAGCTTGCACTTTGTGGGCATCCACATGTTTTCCACCTTCTGTTTGTGGACATAAGCGTCATCTGGATGTACAAAATTTTGTTGATGCACCACCACGGAGTGTTAATATCTATCATTTCTTATTTGGTTCTTCTTCTCTTCTATATTTTGAGGGCCCACGATCAATGGATTGATCATTTTGGCTCTTATGTTTCAGAGGCGTTCGCGATGTTACTGTGCATGGTTTTCAAGGGGATACTTCACTGGTTGCAAGGGCTACTCAGCAAGAGTTTTTATGAACTGGGTTTGGAAGACAGGAGGCACAAGCTGCAAATGTGTCAAGTGTAGTCGCCTCAACTGTTGCTTTTGGAAGCTTGGTTTATATTGGTATAAGCCGCCCACCAGTCTGATACTGTGGTGATTTGACTTTTAATATATTAGTGAGGAGCATCTCTCGTATGAGATCTCCTCTTGGCTCTCGTTCTAGGGTTACGTTATTTGAGCCAAACCACCACACAGACATAACACCTATCTATTTACATATAGTATAGACCGAAACAAAGTCTCAGGTAAAGGATAAATAACTATGAGTATTTATTGAATAATAATATTTACTAAATCCTCTTTTACACACTCCTGGTGCTTAACATATAATCATCAAACAGATTTTATCCCAATTAGAAATTTATATTACTGCAAAGCAAGTGTCCCTAACATACAAGCGGTATCATCATAAAAATGCTATATTTGCTCAAGTTCTATGCTCAATCTTGGTGGACTTATCCTCTATAGTCCAAGTGATGATCTCGGTGGATCATACAATAAGGGAGTTCCTTCAGTTCTAGAAGCGTGTCCCTGTTCCGGCCTTCGGAGCTGTTCTAGGCGTAGCGAAGTCGGAGTTCCTGGTCGTAGATTCCGTGGAATGTCTGCGATGGGGAAAATGACTCTCCCGTGATAAATCGTGGTGGTGAAAGTCCCTGGAACTCGAAGTCCTTTTGGTAGCTGGCAGGTAGTTTGGTAGTAGGATGTAGATCAATCTCCTAGCGCCAGCTCAAGGTAAGTCGGTCCAGTAATAGAAACCAGGCTAAAGGCAAAATGATACAAAAATGGATAAGTATCCAAGCGAATAGCCATAAGCTGATAAGTCCCGTTATACTAGCAACGAATTCAGATCGATGTATAAAAGGTGACATAGCTCTTGCATATACATCCAAATTTTGGATGGGATTATAAGTCTGATCATTGTCGGCGTAAGCAGATCTTGCTTCGCGACAATGTTGGACCAAGCAAACATTTCAATTAATAAAGCATGGGACATGGTAGTATTAACAATCATTAAAATTATAGGTACATGATATTCGTATTGTCTTCTTTTTAAAAGAGACATGTGCACTCTAGAGCAACACCTACCATTCCCATGATGGAATGGCGGTGGGTCGTAGTAAGCGGCAAAAATCAATAATAGAATTCATAATTTCAATACAGATGAATATAGGCATTATTAGGATAAGATCAAACACGAACGAATAATATAAATACATGGGCAGTAACATGATACCAAAATCATGGTTGCGTACTTACTAGTACTCTAGGTAGCAGTCGCAGTTAAGTATCTCGCTAGTGAAGTACTAAGTCCAGTTACTTCAAGCGTTCACAATTGAGTGATCAGATCTTAAAAGACGTGTACTTGCTAAGTAGTCCTAGGTTGCAGTTATGAATCACGCTAGAGAAGTTCTAAGTCGAGATCCTTCCGGCGTTCACGGTCAAGTGAGCATGATCATAAAAGACAGATTGTTGCTTGTTCAGGCTATTTATTCGAGTTGGGTGGCGATTAGGTGATGATTTCAATTGGGTGATTCAAATGTTGTATGTTTTTCCTTCCAATGATGATCACTTTCGATGTTGCGGGTTTGACCTCCTACCCTCAAGGTTTTTCGGGGTGAGGTGAAAATCCAAATTCACGCTTTTGCGTGAGCAATCTGGTTCAGAAATGCAATAACAACGAAGGGGCGCTACTCAGCTTTGCTGTCTCCAGGGCAGAAATGAGGGGGGTGACGGTATTAATTTCCTCAAGGTTTTTCGGTGGGATGGGTTGACCGCAAATTGCACGCTCTGGAGGTGAGCGAACTGAGACAGGAATGCGATATCACAAGGGAACTCACTCGCGCTAAGCGACTGCGGGGCAAAACATAGGGAGGAAATGGTATTATATTACAGGGTATTCAAAGGCGTAGTTGAGGGGAAAGAAATTTTATAAAGTCCAACTCCAGATCATCACAGATACAATCAGTGATTCTGGAAGTTTAAATCCTTCTATGCACTCTTGTAATGTGGTTGCACCTCAGTCTGGCACTTCGATAAGAAAACAGTGCCCACTCTCTCTTTCCACATCACCGAAAACCCAGTGACTCTCTCTCCCCTGTCCATGGTGGTATTTCCTGTGGAAATATTTTGTTTTATCAATATCAACTATAATGGATTCTCCTTGATCGTCGAAACCCCAATTTCAGATGCATTAGCAGCCAGCAAGATTTAACACTCCTCCCACATTAAATTGCACTAGTCCGAAACAATAGTGACATTTGAGATGTCAACCTCGCGTGCCATCTGCAGCTGTGGCATATCACAACACCAGCCGTAAACTAAAATAATAATTTGCTGAATGCTGAGATGACTTCCTGCAAAGAAAGAGCTTTCTCGTAGTGACTTTCTGTAACGGCACAGGCGCACCTGAAACTGTCCTTTCCTTGAGCGTATCTGTTTAATCTGCACAGCCAATGGCAGACACCACATGTCATACTGTTTTTTAACAGGCGTCGACGTACACACCATGGAAGTGCTGAATTAGGGTGTGACAAATTCGGCAGTAGTGTGGAAAGAGCCATCACTTCTTCCTTTGGTATCTGATCCGTATCAAACACTTTATGCTTCAGCACTATTGTAGTCTCTCCTCTTTTTCTTCCTGCCATATTGGTTGCTTAGTAATAATTATTTAAATGTATTCTGCTAAAGAACTTTATATAGTAGCCGAACTATTAACAGACACCATTAAAAGAATAATTGTTTAAATAGCTCTTCAAACTGGAACAACTGGATTTTTTCTTGGCCGCACTCAAATGGTAAATTACCTAGGATTTGTAGCTATTGCAGTGGGATAACAGCCTAAAAGTCTACCTTACATTTTGGTAAATTTACGTTCTCTGTGCTATGGTGTTTCCTATGGCCGCCATCTTGGTTGTCATGGTGGCCGTGTAAAAAAACTCATGTCTGCTAAAATCCTAAACCCTAACCCTAAAACTATCCCCAAACGTAACCCTAAAACTATCCTAAACCTAAACCTCAACTAAAAGTCATGTGCGACTACAGTTACTCACTGACACTGTGGTGAGAAAACTGTAAAGAAAAAAGAAGAAAAAAACCAATACAAAATAATTGTAAAATAATTAAAACCCAATTTACAGTTGCATAGAATATACTTTTACATACTTTATTTCAGGTTCCACCGAAAAGAAAATTAAAAGTTGTCAGAAAATCAATACAATACAATAATTAAACCCATTTTCCAAAATGCTGGCAAATTTGAATATTACAACTAACCAACTAATCAAATATTAAAATTATAATTAACCAACCAATGAAATTATAATTTAAAACAACATTCCATCATCATATTAAAGGAAAGTGAACTCTAGTAACAAAAAGAACAAGAAAAAGGAGATAATATTACACAGACACAAGCCATGGTGCAGAGAACGTAAATTGCACTAAATTTTAAGTTACGACTTATTAATTAGGTTTTGGTCTTTCATGTGCCATTGAAAATTGGGTAAATTTACACAATCTGCGCCACTTTGAGTTTGTATAGGGTTCACTCTCCTTTGATTATTTGTGGATTGTCGCTATAGTCTAAGAGTTAACTTTTTCCATTTTTAATTATAGACACAGAAGTAAGGTTTTGGAAAATATTTTTTTTTTCTGAGTTTCTTTTCATATAATTGGCAATTTAAATTATTTATTGAAAAATTTAAATTTATTCATTGTAAGAAGTGGCAGCGAAAGAATACTACAAGAATTCACATGCTACTACAATGTTCATGTGCTACTACAAAAGTTCATGTGCTACTACAAAAGTTCATGTGCATAATTAACGAATATTAAGATAACATTTAGTTTTATTATAATAATTAATGTTCAATTTGCAGTTAAATATCATTTGAGGCGTTTGAAATTAAATGTTGCAAATCATGTAGATGAAAATGTTAATTTTAGAAATTATTTGTTAATTGAGGTACTCTAAAATTATGCGGACATAGAAAAAGATTGCTGGAACTATCTTAAAAAATAACATTACATCATTGTAATTACATCATTGTAATGTTCCAACTGTCATTGCTGCTCTAGTGCCCTACAACCACTCTAAGTTTGAAAATAATTTTTTTCCCACTCTCGATTTACACTCAAGGTGGGGGGGGGGTGGGGGTGGGGGGTGGGCGGGCAAAATTTACAAGGTATCTACGCTTGACTTAGCATACAGGTTACAAAGCGTTTTCTTAAAAAACATTACATTAAAGTTTGCATTTTTTTGTGCTCATTTTTAACATTTTTATTTTTAATTTGTTGAATTTTCACTTCTTCCAATATTATTTATTCAGTTTTCTTAATTGTTAAGATTTTTATGTCATGCAGGTTTCAAATAAACACTTTATTTCAATGTCTTTTTATATATTCTGATGAAATTCTTTTCAGTAAGAAACAACACATTCTCTCCCTTTACCTTCCCCATCTTAGCAGAATGTTTTTGCACTACTTTTTTGTTGTTGACACAGCCACCATCTTTGTTGCCATGAAACATTTGTCCTCATGGCAAGAAAGATGGCGACTGTGTCAAAAAAAGAAATAGAAATGAGTGGTATGGATTGTGTACATTTACTGAAATGTGCTATGAGTGCCTCGTCTGGCATTCAGGATGCACATAGACTATAGTATGTTAAAATATAATTCATAGCTCATATCACTTATAATAATAAGTCGGTCCGAAATTATAGGGTAAAGAGATTTTAGTAAAGGCCAGTGGTGAACCTATTTATGGCCGCATGCAGCAGAGCACTCTCTGTTTACTGACCAGCCAAGTTGCCCTAGCAACCAAGCATTGGCTAACAGGGCACATAGGAGCCATGCACATCTTTGGCGAGCAGCACTAGTGCAAATTTATCTGTGTGCTAAACTCTTTCTTGACCATCTAATATGTTTCACATATACCTAATACTTAAGAGTGGATTACGCACTTTTCAGGCTTTTCCTCTCCAAAACCAAGGGTCTCAGCTTATGAAAGAGTTAATACAGTGTAGGTTATACTATTTAAAAGATATCAATAAACAGACCTGTTTACTCTTACGATTTCGGCGTACAATATACGATTTTGAGGCCTAAATATTATATGCACCGTATGTTTTTCGTACTATTCAGATAATTTATTGAATGATTTTGTGAGGATATTGTACGATTTTAAGAGTTGAAGGGTAAACAGGTCTGAATAAATATCAAAATTTGATTTTTTTAATGAGAGTTTGCTATTTTATGATTTCTTTCCTACAAGAAATTTATTTGCCTCGACAATGCCTTAAAAAATAAAATTGAACACATTTAACCTCAGACCTGTTTACTCTTATGATTTTGGCGTACAATGTATGATTTTGAGGTGTGTACATTATATATACAGCTCGTTTTCACTCTATAAAGAGAATGTATTGAACGATTATATGATGATATTGTACGATTTTAAGTGTTTGAGGGTAAACAGGTCTGTAACATAAATTTTTTCATATATTCTATAATAGGTTTCCAAGGTAGTGATTGGCCAGAATGGTATTCTGTCCACACCAGCTTGCTCTCATATTATTAGAAAAAGACAGCTGTGTGGCGGCTTCATTCTCACAGCAAGTCACAACCCTGGGGGACCTAAAGGAGACTTTGGGATAAAATACAACATTGAAAATGGGGGTTTGTTACATCATATAATCTGTAGCTTTTCCTGGAAGCTTATTATCAATGATATATGAATATGATCTAATAAATCAGAAATTCTTTGAAAAATATTAATGGTATTAACAATTGAGAATAAATCGATAATTTTATCTAACATAATAAAGTAGAATTTATAACAATCCTGTCTTTATTGAAGTGTAATGTTTACAATAATCTTAAAAAAAAATTCAATTCTGTTTACAAATCAAGATTTTTCTCATCATTTCAGGTCCTGCCCCAGAGGCCATCACAAATGAAATATATGAAATTTCAAAGTCCATTAGTGAATATAAAATAGTTCCCAATCTGAAGGTTGATTTGGAAAAATTAGGAACATACAAGTACAAGATTTGTGGGTCTGAATTCACTGTTGAAGTTATTGATAGTACTGCTGATTATGTAGAGTTTATGAAAACAATATTTGACTTCACTACCATCAAGAAATATCTCCAGTCCCAGAAAGTTTTATTTAATGCAATGAGTGGAGGTATGTACTCTAAAATTCTCTTATATCTTAGCCATAATACCAAAGAAGGCAAGCTTTTTATGTTACATGAAAACTATGAACATTAAATCCAGTAATCTATCTATTAAGATTTTAATTTTTTATTCTCCAGTCCTGTCAAAGGTGTAATGAAAATATTTGATACAATTTCAATTTTTAATGAATGGTAAAGCTACCAAACTAGCTATTTATCGTCCTTTTCCTTGTATCCAAAATACGTTTTGGAACAAAAATGGAAATAGGAAAGTTTTAGTAGCCTTCATTACCATTAATCAAATATGGTTAAAAACAGTTTTATTCCCTTTGATATTATTGTGCTGTTCCTATATGGTCCCAACTTTTATTTTGCTTGTCCCATAAGAATATCCAAGACAAAAAACTACAAAGAGACCATAAGTCGGCGTAAGTGAGGATATCAAATGAAAAAAAGATTAAATGTGTCTAGTATGTCTCTACTCAGACTATTAAATTGAATTTGAAGAATGTTTTGTGGATAATTTTACAAACATGTTTTTCTCCACTGTGTACAACTCAAATAAAGGTTGTAAAACTGAATAAATATTCTGGTCTTGCTAAGATTAAGTTCAATTTCCGTAAATTATGAATTTTTCCTCAATCAGTCACAATCCAGATTTAATTTATTTAGCTAGAAGTAGGTAAGCTAAAATAAAAAAAAAAAATGATTGCTTTTACACATTGAAGTAAAATTGGATTTAAAAAAGGGCAGATAAAAAATTAAATTATTTCTGTGTCATACATTTATTTCATGTTAGATAGTCATAGTTTAGAAACACCTTATTCTTTGCATGCAAATTTTATTTGCTACTATTAATATTTCACAACAACACTAAAGCATGTTTTAAATAACTATCATTTTAGTCAGATACAAAATATTTTCTTTATATCATATAGTAACTGGACCTTACCTCAGAAAAATATTTGTTGAGGAAATGGGCTTGTCACATGACTGTTGTCTTAATTGTGACCCCTTGCCTGACTTTGGAGGCAAGCACCCTGACCCTAACCTAACTTATGCCAAAGATCTTGTGGACATAATGGAAGAAGGAAAGCATGATTTTGCTGCTGCTTTTGATGGAGATGGAGTACGTACAATATAATTACAGTATTTTATTGAATTATTATGCAAATATGGTAACTAACTAAAGGCTTAATTGAAGGTTTCTATGTTTTACATTACTAATTAATGCTTCAAAAATGTCATTTCAATGCTTAAAAAAAGGTTGTAGAAAACACAAGCCCAGTTAAAAATACCTAGTAATAATTAATACCTTTTTAAGTAAAAAAATATAAGCTATATAAATATTGAAAAACTGGGTTATTAATCCCCATCAGGTGTATTTACCAACAAATATCTATTTAAAAAAAGGAGAGCTGCTTGGAGAAAATAGGTGGAAGAATAGTATAAAATAGGATTTTAAATTGCTAGTTCAACAAAATAAAGACATTATATAATGTTTATTAAAAGGTTAAATGTTCCTAATCCATTTACTATTTATAACTATGCCGACCATGTATCAGCATGAACAAAGGTAAACAATTTTTTTTCTATTTAACAATTTATAAAAATTCATAATAATCATGTTTTTCTGGTCTCTCAGGACCGTAATATGATCTTAGGTCATAAGGCTTTTTTTGTCACACCATGTGACTCTTTGGCTGTTTTGGCGGCAAATTTAGACTGTATACCATACTTCAAGGAAAATGGTGTAAAAGGATTTGCTCGAAGCATGCCCACATCTGAGGCTGTAGACAAGTAAGTGCTAGGGTCCCTCCAACTTAGGTTCAGCAAAAGTCTTTGGAAACTAACAAGTTATAAAAATACTTTTGTTTTGTATTTATTAGAAGAAAATGGCACGTCTGGACTTTGTTTTATGGTTAATTTATTTTTTTAATTTTTAATTATCTGGTATAAATTTGGATTAAAAGAAACAAATCAAGGAGATAAAGTTTATTGCCAAATTATTTGAACTCTGGCTTCTCACAAATAGAGTTGGCACCCGAATGTGTCTTAATTTAAATTTAAGAGGAAAACTTGTATTGATAGTACTTTATTACTGATCTTAAAAAGAGTAATTTATTGCTAGCCTTAATTTAATTGAAATAGCCGAAATGCACCAAAGTGCTATTGTTCTGACATTTTTATCACATAAACTTTCAAATAATTACAAAAGTTCAAGATCTTTGTACAACATTTATGCATACCAAGCCTTTAACAATTTATTTTATTTATCCAAATAGTAGACATCTTCCATTAACAAAACCCCATTAAATTTTTTAAGACCAAGTCTTTACTGTTCTATTTCTTAGTAATTCTTACTAACACACGCCTCTTACCACGCCTGGAGCATATGCTGCCTACAAGAATTTTCCATTCATGTCAGTCCTTTGCTTTCCTTTCTATTTGCTTCCAGGTGTTTCCCATACTTTGTGTGCCTGCGTCTAGCTTGCGTCTCCATGTATTCTTCGGCCTCTTCTCTCCCTTTTTCCTTGTGGATTCCATGTTAGGAATTGTCTAGTGATGTTATCTGGGGCTGTAGGAAGAGTGTGCCCTATCCACCATCATCTTTTCCCTAAAGATGCCTTCAGCAACAGGCTCTTGGTTTGTCCTTTCCAGTAAGTCTTTTTTGGTGATGATTTTTGGCCATATTTTGTTCAGAATCTTTCTAAGGAAAGTGTCTGTGAAGGTCTGTACTTTTTACATGATGCTCGCTGTTGTTCTCCAAGTTTCAGCACCATTAAGTAGGACTGTTTTGACATTTGTGTTGAAAATTCTGACTTTATTTTGCAGTCCGCTCCTTTGCCCCCCAATACTCCCATACTTTTCTTAATTGCACAAATGCTGACCTAGCCTTTCAAACTATAGCCCTGACATTAATTTCTTGTATCAATAATTAATTCTTGACTGCAAGATATCTTTGAACAAAAATTGAATTCAAACAGTTAAATTGGTAAAAAAATGCTGTGAACTAATTCCAAATTATAATCAGCTATCTATTCTTTAATTTTTTTTTCCCCATAGCATCTCTTTCTTTGAGCCCCACATTTACACAACTAAGATTTTTTAACACTTGTTACCTAGAGTTGCTCAGTTGGCTGGCAAGGAATGTTACCAAGTTCCCACTGGATGGAAGTTTTTTGGTAACCTCATGGATGCTGGCAAGATAAATCTCTGTGGGGAAGAAAGCTTTGGTACAGGATCTGATCATATCAGGTTAGTAAAGATAGTAAGATACAGAAATGTGTTAAAATAATGGATCAATTAAATACTGTGAAGAATAAACCTGCATTTAATATTGATAACAAGGAATGTATCACAATAGTGGTATTTGAGAATGCCATAATATGGGCTAGGAAATAACCCAACTTAAACTTAAAAAGTGTGGATATGTCATTTCAAGCCTTTGAAGTCTTGAGGGCAAAGAAAAAATGTGTAAACACTGACAGGTGATGGGAAAAAAAAAACTAACCTGAGGAAAAGAACAGATATTACTAGCAAAAGAAACATACACAAATCATTAAAAGGGCTTCGAAGATTCTTTTGAAGCAATTAAGAGCTACTATAAAATTTTGTTCAGATTTCCCTTTCTGATAGTCAAAAGTCAATAACCCGATTAATCTTAAAAAAGGGGATAAAAATAGCCTACTAACTAGCATATCATCAATGTTCTGATCAGCTTGTGTAGCTCTTGAAATTTCTTTTCACTGCTACACTTGCAAAGTAATATTCTATGATAACTCAGGTAAGTTGTGAGAATGAAACTGAATGCAGAAGTCTTAATGGATTAAAAAAAATATATATATAAATCCTTGAAAAATTTGCCCATTATTTAAATTCGTTGGCATTCCACAGAGAAAAGGATGGCATATGGGCAGCTTTGGCCTGGCTCTCAGTATTAGCAAATTCTGGTAAAAGTGTAAAAGACCTCCTTTTTGACCATTGGACAGTATATGGAAGGAATTTCTTTACAAGGTTACTTATAATCATTAATTGTTTCTATGTCGGATAAAGATACAAGTAATTGTAATTTATTATTATTTTAAACTTTCTTCCTTTGTTGCCTTACAGTGACCCAATGTCTTCTTTTTACAATGAAACACCCCCCCCCCCCGCACCCAAATTTTTTGGCCTAACCCAAAACAAGTCTTAACAACTTTCTTCCTTTGTTGCCTTACAGTGACCCAATGTCTTCTTTTTACAATGAAACACCCCCCCCCCCCGCACTCATATTTTTTGGCCTAACCCAAAACAAGTCTTAACTACAACAATTTCCCCCTTTTTTTTCTTCTGGTAAAGCCAGCCAAATAATAATTTATAGTTATTAATTGACCAGGTCAAGTCTCCTCTTACTGTGTGCAAGTAAACTGGGAAAGGGGGGGGGTGGTGGTAGTTAGACTACCATAGAGATTCATTCTGTGTATGCTCCCTAGGTATGATTATGAAAATGTATCATCTGATGCTGGAGATAAAATGATGGAACTGCTTACAAAATTAATTGAAGATCCAAAAACAAAGAGCATGACCTTCTCAGATCCAACTGGGAAATCTTACAAGATGTCTCACCTTGACAACTTTGAATATAAGGATCCAATAGATGGGAGCATCAGTAAAAACCAGGTCATTTCAAAAATAATTTTAAAATAGGTGTAAAAAAATTACTAATTAATTAATTCCAATGACTTTGATGAATACTATTTAATTTTTTAAAATCAGTTAACATAGTCAATTTCTGTTAACATTTTCCAGTCAAATCTTTGAATTCCACATAATTATCCAAGAAATTAAGGGGTATGTTTTTAGGTTAATTTTTAGAAGATTTTACATATGGTGGGGGGATCCTGACATAAAATTCCAAAAAAGAAAATTTCAAACTGGTGTTTTTGTGCATTTGAAATAACTTCCATTTTGATATATTTATTTTACAATCATTTTAGTTTTTTTTTAAATAAGTTATTACAATAATTTAAACATTTTGTAAGATGTATCTTCTCCCCAAACATGATTTTTTTTTTTGTTGTAAAAATAAAAGTAATTAGTTTCAATGTTAACCCACGAACTGTTTAGAGGTTTTTGGGTGCTTTTGAAAAACATGATTTTTCACATGCAAATACTATAGCTAGAACCCATAAAGTATATATTTATTGAAAGTAGACTGGGTGGGGAATCATACTTGCAATTTTTTAATGATATTTTTAATGATATTTTATACTCCTGACCATGACCTTGATCTTGGAGTGACCAAGAATAAAGAAAATAAAGACAATTTTTCTTTTCAAGGACCTCAAACCACAATTTTTTGAAGGCTTATTATAATAATGTTTATATAATATGATAGCATTTTTATTAATCTTTTAGAAAATGTATTATTTGTATATGTTTTAGTTATTGATAGATTTATAAAAAAAAAAAATCTTCTGATACCTTTAATTTACATTCAAGTAACAAAGCACAACATAAACCATGTAAACATTACTAAAAAGCAAGAAAAAAATTAAATTTAAAAAGCTGCTATATAAATATTTAATCTATAAAATGAAATATAAGAAAACATATATAGAACAACATCCAATAATTTTCATTGGTACAAAATCATCTGCAACATAGTTTTGAACGAGTCATAGTGTTGCGGCAACTCCTACTTGTTTTAGGCCTAGGTCTAAATCGCCAGAACTTTCGCTTTCTGACCCACTTGAAAAAAAATTGGAGTTATCATTGTTTTCGTCTGTGATCGGCAAATAATCTTCCGAACACTTAAGTCATTAACTAGAAAGAATTTTCAAAAAGATTCCTAACTGATTTATTTTGTAAGCCAGGTGGTTCAGCTATAGCCTTATCCACTTTGCGAAAATCTACTGACAAAAATTTGCTTGATAAAGATCGTTGTAAAAAAACCCTCCAAAGTTTATAAAAAGAACACAGAAGAGCGAAAAACGGACGTTCGTTTATTAATAAAGGGAAGTCGTTTTATTTGATGTAAAATATTGGACTGGAACTTATTCTTTCAACGCATTTTTTATGGGCCGACATAGTTTGGGAAGAGGAAATCGGCCGATGACAGTTCATGGGTTAAATTTGACAAATAAAAAGGAAGGAACTGAAAGTAAAAATTCTAGAAAATCATCAAGTTTTTTTCATGAAAGTATTAGTTATCTAAAAAAAAAAAAGCGGTTTAAATTTGTCCCCATATAATAAAAGTATAAAGTAGCTTCTGGAAATGGGGAGGAGATTTTTATGTGAAATAGGGAGCACATTTTTATGGCAAATCTGGAAATTAATTCTTTGAACACTGCCAAGTAGGGGTTAATTTATGGATTTCACAATAGTATGTAGTTGTTTTTATATGGAAAAAAAATCATTGATCTTTGCTTTATGCCCAATTTTTTTTAAAAAATTCAGAATTTTGGAATACTTATAGATAAAAAAAAAAATTTGGAACATTTCTGTTGACCAGTTTGCAAAAATGAAGCATTAAAATTGTGTTTGATATCTATAAACACAATATAATTTTTATCAGCTACCTCATTTTTTTTATAGTTATGATTGTTGGAATCAATGTCCAGTTATTTGGAAGATTATTGTTCAAAATTTATTGTTGAAAAATATTGTCATGGCTATTAGTTAATAGTACTAGTGAAGTCTTATTATTGCCTTTAATATGTCCAATTTGTTCAACAGTTTTCTGGAACTACCTTCATAGGAATTCAATGACTTAATCAATTGACTCTATTGGTATACTTGTTATCTGCAGGGAATTCGTTTTCTTTTTGAAGATGGTTCTAGAATTATTTACCGCCTGAGTGGCACCGGTAGTTCAGGGGCCACAATTCGTATATATGTTGAAGGTTATGAGAAGTATGCCAATCCACAGTTTTACTACCAGGATGCACAGGTTAGTTTGACATAAATTCATGTTCTTTGATAGATATTAAAAAATTCAATTTCTACTAGAAAATAGCTGTAAACATTGTTTGAGTGCTTTGTAATACCAGCAAGGAAGCAAAGCAATTGAATAAAACTTTAATAGTGATGTTACTACTACTAAAACAAATCAAAAGTATTCACAAACAATCTGCTCAACTATGCATCTTTTTAAGTTAACATAATTGTGAGATTTACCCTAATTTTTTAACAGTGTCAAGTGTGTTAGTGACATAATTGCCTGCTCTCTAACAAAAAGTATCAACATAGTTCATCTTCTAACTGGCTTCCTCTATCCATGTGTTTGAAAACTATTCATAATTCTCCACCACTGCTCTTGTAAAAAATTCATTCTGAAATAACTGAAAAAAACTGAGATGGTTTTTGAGTTTGAGAGTATTGGAACCAACCTCATCTCAGAAAGCAAAAAATCTACAGCTACAACATTTGAAACTTGAAGAAGTCACATTTATCTATTAATTTATTTTAAACTATTTAAATATTTAACTACCAGTATCTTCTTCGTTTAACACCATTTTAATTTTTTATTTGTTATTTTAACTAATTAAGTATTGAAGAAGCTTTATATTTAGTAGAAAGCCCTATTTTGTGTGATAATCTAACTTAAAACTTGAGTTAATTGAATTTATATTATTATTATTTTAAAAAAAAATCTAGTACACAGTTTAGTATCATTTTATTTGTTCAGTGCTATTTTTGAAGCATAGAATACTCCAATGAGGGTTGATTCTATTTCAAATGGAAAAATAGACTTGGTTACAAAAATTCATGTAAAATTTCTAATAGGCTCCCAATACCCAATGACAATATTTGATTTAAAAATACATGTTACCAATCCTTGACATGCTATTCTACACCATTTCAGGAAGTGCTCAAGCCTCTTGTTACTATTGCCTTACGTACATCTAAACTAAAAGAGTTGACCGGTCGAGAGGAGCCAACAGTCATCACATGAGCTTTTCCACATTTGATGATCTAGCAGATGTTCAGTCCTCAGATACCCGAATTCAGTTATCTTACACTCTGTGTGAAGATGAGAGTAATGGGTCCCTACTTGGTGTTATATTTATTGTTTATAAAATATTATATCCAGATCCTAATTCAATTGCATGTTACTTTTAATCCAAATTTTAATGATCCGTTTTATTGTTGACATGCTCTGCTCCCCATATATTTTCACATAATTTTGTTTACCCTGCTCCTTTTTATTTTGTTTGGAAAGATAGCATTTGAATTAATCTTTCTGAACAGTGTTGTGTGAATCTGGCCATGAACTGTGTCATGTTAATCAGGCAAATATGACATTTTTAATAACATTCATTTTATGTCAAGATCTTTCAACATAAATTTTGTTTCTCCTAGGTAATAATTTTAATAAATACGACTTTCTATGCCTCTGATGGAGACTTATTCTTTTTTGTCTTGAAAATTAACGCTGCAGCATGATGCAAGTGTATTCAGCACTTAATCTCTGTTGGCTCGTTAGACCTAAGTCAGACATAACCCTCACCGACTGGTGCTTGTACCTATGTAGAAGGCCTGTTAAATTGCCTAATGGTGTTCAGTGCAGTCTCTCGGGGCCTTCACAAACACAGCATAACTAAATTGAAAAAAAATCTGCTTAGCTGGATCTAATTATTCATAAAGGGCACTTTGAGTATTAAATGTTCAGTAGAAGAACTCATTGAAGCACCATGTCTCTTGTCTTTCATAATGCACATCATCTAAAGCTAAACATTTTCTTTACAGAGATTTTGGTTGAAATATTAATAAAACCCTAAAAGTTAAAAAATTTTTTTTATATTTATAAACAAGAGGGGCATTATTTGATTTAATGGCAATGTGAAACAGCTGATATAAGTAACAAACTGAATCACTGTCTGAAACAGCTATTATAAATGCTGCCACTGCAAGTAACCAGCTGCAGGTCCTGATGGGGCCTTAGTAAAAAAGAAGGCAGATGTTACAGGTTGCATCAGAATAATGGTGCATTGGTTCTTTTTGTTGAACAGAGTTTTATGATGATTAAATAGGAATAATTCAATGGAAGGGATCTATGCAACACCATAGTCGAGGAGAATAGTTAGGGTTAGTCCCCACTCAGACCTGAAAGTGAAATCCTATGTAGCGTTTTGTTATAATAAAAACTTGTATGTATTGGCTTTCACCAATCTCCATTCTTTTCTGTTTTATTTGTAATCTACTTAAACCCAAATGGAAGGTGGTGTGACTTTTCCCTGTTTATTTTTATGATATCTCAAGTTTCTTTCATGGTGAAATTATTTGGTTTCTTGAATTGAAAAAAAAAAAATCATATTTAAAATTAAAAATGGAATGCTATTTTGTTGTTGTTGTCATTGTTGTTCGTCCGTCGAAGTCAAGGACCATCGAATCATCCGGTTAGGAAATTAAACCCAAATGGAAGGTGGTGTGACTTTTCCCTGTTTATTTTTATGATATCTCAAGTTTCTTTCATGGTGAAATTATTTGGTTTCTTGAATTGAAAAAAAAAAAAAAATCATATTTAAAATTAAAAATGGAATGCTATTTTGTTGTTGTTGTCATTGTTGTTCGTCCGTCGAAGTCAAGGACCATCGAATCATCCGGTTAGGGGCGGGCGGGGGGATTGGGATTATGGTGAGCTCTTAGGTGGCTTGTTAGACCGATCCTTGCTCGAAATAATCTATGACACCGTGGGCATGGAATAGTTGATTCAGACGATGACCTAATGTTGCTCTTTCGGACAAGCCTGCGTGTCTCAGCTGTGGTTATTCTCTTAGCTCCCTTCTTGACATCAGCTCTCCATCTGGCTCTGTCCTGGGCTGTCTGCACCCATTGAGTAGGGTTTATGCTGAAGGCCTTTAGTGCCACTTTCAGTGAGTCTTTGTAACGCTTTTTTTGCCTCCTTGGGAGCGCTTGCCTATTGTGAGTTCTCCAAAGAATATTTGTTTCGGGAGCCGGTGGTCTGCCATACGGGCTACGTGTCCCATCCAACGGAGCTGAGACTGCATCAGAGTGGTGAAGATACTAGGTAGGTTCGCTCTAGCGAGGACCTCGGTGTCGGGGACTTTGTCTTGCCACCTGATGTCGAGGAGTTTCCTGAGGCAGGTAGTGTGAAAATGATTCAGTTTCTTGGCGTGACGCTGGTTGACAGTCCACGTTTCACATCCATAAAGCAGTGTCGGGAGGACTGCTGCACTATAGACCTTGAGCTTTGTTTCTCGACTGATACCTCTCCTGTCCCAAACAGTGCTGCCAATGATCTGATGCTGACATTTTCATTAACAAATCTCCATTCAGTCATTCAGCCATTTATTTTCTTAAATATAAAATTCGTTTTGCTTTAGAACAGTGATTCTCAACCATCCTAAAGCTGCAACCCTTTAATACAGTTCTTCATGTTGTGCTGACCACCAGCCATAAAATTATTGTTGAGAACCGCTGCTTTAGAAGCTTGAACTTAAAGTTATATACAGGGTAATTATAAAATTATTTGTAATTCTAATGTACAACTTTTGATACATTAGAATCAGCTTATTTAAATATCTCCAAGCTGAGATACTCGTGCAAAAGTTAAGATACACTGTCCCAGGTCTCATGGTCATGTATCAAATTTGACAGTTGTATTTTAATTTAAAGGCCATCATGACAACACTAAGGGCAATGATGACCTGGTAATGGTGACCCCAACCAAGCCCAAGGGTTTATTTTATTATTTCTCAATTCTGGCAAATTTATGAAATTGTTCCTTAATCAATGGATGGTACCTGGATACACTAAACAATGTATGCTACTTTGGTACTGCATACACTAACAATGCATGCTACTTTGGACTGCATACACCAACAATGTATGCTACTTTGGACTGTGTACACTAACAATGTATGCTACTTTGGACTGTGTACAATAACAATGTATGCTACTTTGGTACTGCATACACTAACAATGTACGCTACTTTGGACTGCATACACTGTGTGCTACTTTGGACTGTGTACACTAACAATGTATGCTAATTTGGTATTGTGTACCCTAGCAATGTATACTACTTTGGTTCTGCATACACTACTAACAATGTATGCTACTTTGGTACTGTACAATAACAATATATGATACTTTGGTACTGTGTACACTTACAATGTTTACGACTTTGGTACTGTGTACCCTAACAATGTATGCTACTTTAGTACTGTGTACACCAACAATGTATGCTACTTTGGTACTCTGTACACTAACAATGCATGCTACGATGCTACTTTAGTACTATGTACACAACAATGTATGCTACTTTGGTACTGTGTACACCAACAATGTATGCTACTTTGATACTGTGTACATCAACAATGTATGCTACTTTAGTACTATGTACACCAACAATGTATGCTACTTTGGACTGTGGACACTAACAATGTATGCTACTTTGGTACTGCATACACTAACAATGTATGCTACTTTGGTACTGCATACACTAACAATCTATGCTACTTTGGTACTGCATACACTAACAATGTATGCTATTTTGGTATTGCATACACTAATAAAGTATGCTACTTTGGTACTGCATACACTAACAATGTGTGGTACTGCATACACTGACAATGTATAACATGAATTGAAGTTGAAGGACTATAGTTCAAGCTATGTAAAGGAAATAGTGGATCACACACAAAAAAATAAATAATTAGGCATCAAACTCACTCGCAATTTTGAATTGACAAATATATTTTTAAGAATCTCAATTAGCGCACCTATCGGGAAATTTATTTGGTGCAATCAGTGGCATCATATTTCCTTCATCTTTCCCTCGAAAACAAAAAAAAAACTGATTTGGGAGTTTGGGTTAAAAATTTGATAAAATGTGTTGTCATCGGCAACGAGTCTTTGTGCCAAGTTTTAGCTCGATAGCTTGACGGGAAGTGGGCCAATTAGCGGTCCAATCTTTTTTCTGCCACCCAGCCAGTCAGTCGGCAAGCCACAAACCAAAGCGAAGTTAATATAAAGGATTTAATGAAAAGAACAAAAAGCATCAGACCAAACATTTTGACGGGTTGAGAGACATTTTGAATGGATTGAGAACCATTTTGAACGGATTAATAGACATTTTGATCGTGTTGAGAACCATTTTGAACGGGTTAAGAGACATTTTGAACGTGTTGAGAACCATTTTGAACGGGTTTAGAGACGTTATGAACGGGCTGAGACAATTTTTGGACGGGTTGAGAGATATCTTTAACTAACGGCATTACAGATTTGTGTACACTTTTGATTGTGGAGGCCCTAGCCTCAAGTCTTAAGCTCACGTAATGAAATCAAACTCCGAGGGCAACCCTATGTCGACGAACCCCTCGTTGATAAGCCATCCAGGCAACTAGCCAGGTGTGTAGGTTAATAACCAGCCAAGTAATCTCATCTCATAAAACAAAATAACTCGTATTATCTGAATGTACAACACCACAAACAACAAGAGCCCCTCCTCCAGACCCAATCATCACTAAATCAAGTTAACAAGATTCAGTCTTAGATGTCCAGAAGAAAATAACTATACATTTTAACACCACGCAAGACAATAAACACAAAAAATCCAATTCGTAAACCACCTGCTGTTTGCGGATTATTTGTGACCCACAAGGACTATCGGAGTATCCCGCAGGCTTAACTAAAATAGAGATAGGAATCAAACTCTTTTCGGGGTCATTTCGATTGTCATATCTAGTTCAAGGGTTGGTTTTGGCGGCCAGACTAGCCACTCCATCAGTTGGAGCAGGGAAGGTTAACCTAAAAGGCTTCAGGGGTCACCTTTAGACCAAGTTAACCTTTCGCGGGCCTCATGTCATTTCAACTAGTATTGAAAGCTTAAAGTGAATACTCAACGAAATGCTGTAAAGATTATTTATCTATTCTTAACCTACGTCTACGTAGTGCAATTCGAAATAAAACAAACACAATTAAACTAAAGTACTGGGATGTTTGTTTATCTTATAACCAAGTTAAAGCTTTAAAATCTATTTCTTTGCAAATAAAATAAAGAACGAACACGTTTATTTGTCATAAATCAGGCATCAGGGACCGCACTATTTCACGTGGCAGGGCGTGTGTTGGTCAAACCTGAGTTAGAGCTGATCCGGACGTTGTTACGAAAGAAATTTGCTCGAAGGGAAATATTTAGACGGAAGTTTATTCGAAAGGAAATTTTTTAAAATGAGATTTATTTAGTTAAAATATTGGGTTTTTTGGGAGGTTCCGAGTGAGGAATATGGAAAATGTAAATTTCTGAATAGGATTTAGTTTGTTGTCTCCCCTCCCCCCCGCGCCGCCCCCCCCCTAACATTATTTCATTTCGAACACATGCATTAGATCAGGGGGTCACCAAACTTTTTTCACGGCGGGCTGGATAATGGAAAAAATGACGAGCGCGGGCCGTATGCCATTCTGTACCATACTTGCAAACCGGACATAAGGCTCTGGGAGAAAAGACGAACAACTAAGTTTAGTATTCCATGTTAAGCATGGGGGAGTGGCGAGCAATGCAAAAAAAAGCAAAGACAACCAATATATTTAATTACTAAAAAAGTTAGCAAAGAAGGTAACGTTAACAAAAAGATAGTTACATTAGACCATGGGCGCCCGCAGGTAGGGGCAAGGTGGTGCACTTGCCCCCCTTGGGTTGATTGGATACAAAACTTTTAGACAAAAATAGACAAAAAATGTATTAAAGTAAAGAGAAAATAAAGAGAAAGTAACTAAGCTGATGTCCTGTCCGTTCGTTGACCATACAAATACGCTACAGTAAATTAAAACTACATTAAAACATTACTAAAAAATGTTTGCCCCCACCTGGAAGTTAATCGATTTTTTTTTGCTTGAATTATTTTATTGATTGAACTATTCAGGAATTGTATTTCCAGAGATGACAAACTTGGAAAAACAAATTGTCGACTCTTTTCATTATTTTGACGACTGTCTTTTAATATGTATCCATACAAATTTCATGACAGTGAACATACTTTACTGTTTGGTCTACTTAGGCAACTATGGATACATTGAATTTTTTCTCTACCCGAACTTACTGAGCTGTGTGGACTACTCAATCATTCTTCTTGAGATTCTTGGACTTATCAATGATACATTCTGAAATATGCGGAATTTTCAATTATACTTTGGAAGACGCTTGGATTTTTAATTCGCGGCACATATGTAATCCTAAGTTGCAGCTGTTGGATGGAGTGTTTCATTAGACCGTAATCGCTGTAAAAAAATGGACGACCTCTCACAGATGAAATAGGCCATTAAATTTGGGACATCGAAAAGATGTATGGGAACATTGGGATGGGGGGGG